CCCTGCCATAAGAAGCAGAAGTCAGATCCAGCAAGCAACCTCATCCCAGAGAGAGAGCTGCCTTGACTCAAGCCTCCTCTCCTTCGGCAGGTTTGACAAAATGGATACTGCATCTCAAGTTCACCACCGTGTCAAACACTTCTGACAAACTTTTACATTCAGCAACACTAGATAAAAACTGGTGAGGCGAGTCCCTCGCTGAGGGCAAACGCTGTAACATCTCAACATTTTGCTTTGCAAGAAAGGTGCAATATTGGCAGTTCTCCAGGAACCAGCAGGGTTCAGGTCAGCCTGTGCCGACGCTGAGCCGTATGCTATTGGCAGTGGCAGGCTGGTGCATATTGGAGCCAGGATGGAGACCACGGAAACACTTTTAGATGGGACTCAAAGTTAATAAAAAGCTAAATGTGAGAGTAAGGCTTTGGGGTCCCGTTTCCTCTTCACTGGGTGCACAAGTTAGATACTGTGCAATTTCTATGCCCCCTTGTGGGGACTTCATCCTCACGGGTGGTTCCAAGGGAAAAGTGCACCTTTCCCATCAGGACGACAGCAAAAGTTAGGGCTGCTTTCTGAAGCTGAAAGACAGGAGGAGAGACACACACAGACCCAATCAGCTCTGACACCGCGCACTCCAATTTCCCGCGGGGAGATCCTGCAGCAAAATATTGCACCTTTCTAGCCACCATTCGCAAAGACGGACCGTGGGAACTTGTGGCAAGTGCCTTCCCCAGCCCGCGAGCAGGAGAGATGGGGCAGGCATGCAGGCACGGGGAGCTCTGGCAGTTGCATTTGGGGCTGGGGGCTTCTTTGAGGGTCAGATGAGATTATCTGGGTGTAAAGAAAGGAAAGGAAATGCTACATAGCCAGGGGCCATGGAAGGGTCTCGAAACAGAGAAACCACAATGCCTGATTTATTAATCACTCCAGATACCAAGGGCAATGTTCACATTTTGTTTGAGACAGCACAGGAAGGGGAGAGGATCAGAGGGGGGACACGAATTTTTATGGTTTTCATTTGAGGACTCAGACTCCATCTGTGGGAGTGGGCAATGTGTGATGCACAACTGTCACGGGGTGCCTCTTGCTTGCACCCAGTCTGCATTTAGGTTTTTGGGGTGGAGGAATTGGTTTCTGCTGCCCAATGCAGGGTGCCCTGCACTAGCAGCAGCTGGGTGGGAGGCTCTCTGCTCTGCTACCATGGTAATCCCTAAAATGGCTGTTAAAACAGGCAAGAGAGAAGGAAATGCACTAAATCCACTCAAAGGAAAGAATGTGGCTGGGAACAGCCTGGAAATGAACCTCTCCAAATCCCTGAAGTGCAATACACTCGCGTCTGGAAAGTTTTGTCAGTTCTTGGAGAGGAGAGGATGGTCCCAACTCCCCAGCAGAGCCCATCCTTGCACTGGCAGAGGTTTACTGTCACCTGGAGGATGTACTTTGGGCATAATTGTAGCAGCATCTTTTGTGTTAATACTAGAGTTTGAGGGGGGGGGGCAGGGAGTGATGTTCTCTGTTATTTAGCAAAGATTGCACATCTGCTCTGGCCAAGGTAACGGTGCGCAGACTGCTACAGCATGTGAGCACTTAAAAGCTTGTCATTTTGGGGTGCACACATTACTTCACCATGCAATTGTCAGGAACATCAATAAAAAAATCACCCAGTTACTTCACTATGGAAAATTACACCTGGCTTTCACTTCATGAGACTGCAGTTTTGCTAATTAACTCCTTCCCCCCCCCCCCCCTTCTCTTTTTCACCA